CTTCATATCTGCAATTAATAAAACATAACTGGATATTAAGATTAAAAATAATTTGTTATTAACTGCCAAGTGGCTAGATCTGTTACACTCGGGCCTACAGGGCCTCGAACCTCTGACCAGGCCTTCACAGTCTGCAACAGAACAGGACGTTGTTGTTGTTGTTGTTGTTGTTGAGTGTCGTCGAGTCGGTTCCGACCCATAGAGACCCTGAACAGGGTCTCTGAGGCTGTAAATCTTTATGGGAGCAGAAAGCCTCATCTTTCTCCCTCGGAGCAGCTGGTAGTTTAGAACTGCTGACATATAGTTATTGTTAAGTATTGTCAAATCTGTTCCAACTATATAGAATTTCCAAACAGCAGTTGGTGGGTTTGAACCACTGACATTGCAGCTTAAATTGACCTTGCTAAACACTGCGCCAGGACTCTCTGGATACGATGTTGTTGTTATTATGTGCAGTGAAGTCAGTTCCGACTCATAGCGACCCTGTACAGGGTTTCCGAGGCTGTAAATCTTTACAGGAGCAGAACGCTTCATCTTTCTCCCACAGAACAGCTAGTAGTTTCGAACTACTGACCATGAGATATGTCCATGCCTCCTTGATCTGTGTCACCTGTTATGTGGAAGACAAGAACAGAATCCAGATACTTCCATGATGGTAAGTTACTCTTGTAGTCTTGTACTTTTGTAGTAGGTCTTCATTTCAGACCAACCAATCGCTGTTCAGAAATATTATACAAGGCTGCTGTGAGTTTGAATAAACTCCGTGGCAGCTAATAACAACAAATGGTCCTTACTGTGGTTGGAGAGGCACAAAGAGTATTCAACGATGTGTCCAAAATGTTTGAATATTTAAATTAATGTTCTTTAAAAGACTGGAATAAAAAATTGAAAAATCATTTTAGTCATTAAGCAAACGTTTATTTATATTAACTTTTTCCAGGTATTGTGAAGAAGTCATTAAATTTTTGGTGTATTTTCACATGGTGATCTGAGGTGTATGGTGATAAGATGTGGGTGAAACAAAATTCACAGTATGCTTTTTATGAAAAATATTACATATTAATTTTTGAAAATGCTTAATTAGACAACTCATAATAACTTTTAAACCAGGAATAATTTTACTGCCAAAGACAATGATTATTAAAAATGTGGTAATTTCTTCACTTTTATAAAATGTAATACAAATTATAATATTCTAGTATTATTTTCATATGTTGTTGTTGCTATTAAGTGTCATTGGGTCAATTCAGACCCATAGCTACCCTGTATAGGGTTTCCAAGGAGCAGCTGGTGAGGTTGAACCAGGACCTTGTAGTTCAAATGACTTTGCAGTCTGATGCAATAGTCCACAGCGCCACACCAGGACTACTGTTGCTGTTGTTAAGTGCCAGTCAATTCGGTTCTAACTCATAGTGACCCTGTGTAGGGTTTTCAAGAAGCAGCTGGTGAGTTTGAACTGCTGATCTTGAGGTTCAAATCAACCTCAAGGTCAAGTGTTCATCCTACAGTGCCACACAAGAACTCCATTTCTAGTATTTTACAATACTAATATTATTTATGTATACGACCTTCAAATGTCATGGAAAAATTACACTACATTTTCATTTAACTTTTCCATGAGCTTTTTAAAGTGTCTTTGTATATGTATTTATTCACATAAATGACTTGGGATCCCATGGTGTTTACCTCATATTACTAGTGATAACATTCTCATAAAATATCATTAAACATATCATTTATTCTCTGACAATCATTATATCCTACCATAATTTCTTGAACATTTTTTCTGCTTTAAAAGTGATACATATTATTTCTATTTCCATTTAAGTAATTAGAAGTTGATGCAACTCTGCTTTAAAAATTTACATCAAACATACTTAGTATTTCTTTCTGATTTTATTCAATTTTTTTACTTAAAGAATCGTTAATTATTTTGAAGTTGTTTTAAGGCATACCTGCATTTTTACTATATTTTCAGTTTCTAAATTAATTCCGTTCATATATCTATATTAATTTTTTATACCTTGAAGGGTGCGGAGGTAGCTTCTTGAAAAGTTCTTTCCTTGATCTGCGATTACATTTCTTTCACATCTTTCTCATTCTTTTGTCTTTCACTGTCTGTTCTTCATCATTGTCATTATGGTTCACCTATTTTCTGGTAGCATAGTAGTTATCAATCAGACTTCTAACCTCAAGGTCAGCAGTTCAAAACTACCAGCTGTTCTGTGGGAGAAAGATAAGTCTTTCTGCTCCCATGAAGATTTACAGCCTCAGATACCCTGTAACAGGGTCGCTATGAGTCAGAACCAACTCCATAGCACATAACAACAACAATAATTTTTGAACTGGTGTGGTGCTGTGGGACAATGTACTGGACTGCAATGTCAATTTCAACTGCAAGGTTGGTGGTTCAAGCTCACCAGCTGCTCCACAGAAACCTCACACAGGGTCTCTATGGGTCAGAACCGACAAGATGGCTCTTAACAACAGTAACAACAATTCTTGAAGTAGAAACACAATTGTTAATATTATTATTAAAGGACCTTTAATATAGATATGGTGAATGCATACATCCTTTTTTTAATGTTTTTTTTTTTTATCACTTTACTTTTTGTTATACAATTTTACAGTAAACTATGGAAAACTGATACTGTCTTCCAAAATATCATGTTTGAGTCAAAATATAGCAATTTCACTGCTAGATTCCATATGATAAACACTGGACTGTAAACCACAAGGCTCATAGTTGGAGTCTGGCTGCTGCTCCATGGGAGAAAGATGAAGTTTTCTTCTTCTGCAAAAATTGAAAGCCTAAGGAACCCTATACAGGGCCACTATGAATCAGAACCTACTCTGACATTTCATAACCACAGCAACAGCATAATAAGATTAAGGAGCCCTGGTAGCATAATGGATTGCCAGATGGATTTTCAGCAGTTTGAGTTTATCAGCCACTCTGTGATGGAAAAATGAGGCTCTATGCTACTGTGAAGAGTTTCAGGCTCAGAAATCCTAAACAAGTTAGAATCAACTGACAGCACACAAGTGCACCACCCACTGTAATAAGATTTGGAGCACTATGGTTCTGTAAGATAAGCATGGGATGCTAAACATGAGGTCAGTGAATGGAGCCCATTGGCTACTCCCTGTGAGATAGATGAGGCAGAAAGATTTACTGTCTCAGAAACCTATACAGGGTAACTATGAGTTGGAACAGAGTCCTCAGCATTTAATAGCAACATAATAAGATTGATGGAAATATTTATATTGATATTATAGTTGATTGTCCTCAAATGTATGTTCTTCATAAAATCACATTAATTTATATTTATCCCATAATAATTATTTTGATGTAGTATACATATAATCTATTCAAGATTTGGATTGGCCTAATTGACCCTGTTTATTCTATGTAAATGTGGAAGTTAAATTTAATAAACATGCTGACTTTTTTATGATAGAGAATCAGAAGGGATGGCTAGGGATATGAGAAAAGATGGAAGGGTGACTGCTACAGGGCAGTAATCAGGAATACGAGATACAGCCCATCCTCTCAAAATTCATTGATTCCTCAAGTCTTTGCTTATTCTCTATCACTATGCTCAAAATTTAAAGAATAGAAATTTATCCTTTTAGAATCAGACAAAAAAATTGTGTGATATTTGAGACATATTGGAAAGTAAATGTCTCCTCAAATAAAATTTGGTGCTAAGTGCAGCTTCTGGAACCATTTTACACACAAAGCTTTGTGGAAACTGACTTAAACCTATGAAAGTTAAGTCCTTACTCAAAAGTTCCAGGGCGATAGCATTGTTCAAACATAAACATGAAAGCAATGTGGGAGAAAGGAAGTGGGTAAAATCCAGGCCACATAGTCTTACTGACAATTGTGCCTATGATAGACTTTCAATCTGAGCCCATTGTTTGCATGAGATGTAGGATAAAGCACTGAACCACAAGGTCTGTTTAAACCACAAGGTAAGCAGTTCAAACTCACCATGGCTCCTTGGAAACCATAGACAGTGTCATCATGAGTCAGAACCAATTTAATGACACTAAACAACAACAACTTGAAGGAGAAGGGCATTCGACTTTCATCAAAGTAAACAGTTGTTGTTGTGTTGTCAAGTGCCGTTGAGTCAATTCTGACCCATTGGGTATCCAAGGAGCAGCTGGTGAGCTTGAACTACCAACCTTGCAGTTCAAATGGCTTTCCAGTCTGGCACATTAACCCATAGTGCCACATCAAGATTCCATATTAAACAGTCATAGTTATGTGCCGTGGAGTCGATTCTAACTCATAGAGACCCTGTACAGGGTTTCTGAGGCTGTAAATCTTTACGGGAGCAGAAAGCCTCATCTTTCTCCCATGGAACAGCTGATAGTTTCAAACTGTTGATCTGTGGTTCTCAGCTCGATTCATAACCACTATGCTAGTAGTGCACAGATATTCAGAGATATATAGGGCTAAAAGTTAAATAACCAACTCCTATACATAT